TTGGGGCACCCGGGTGAGCAATAGTTCAAGGAGTTGAGAAGCCTGGATAGTACGGCCCGGGATCATAGAAGAAAGACTCGTAGTCAGTACAAGAAGAAGGGAACGAAGCGAAGCGAAGTGAACTCAAATTTATGACTGAACTTCGCTTCGCTTCGTTCGTTGGCTAACAACCGTTTTAAAGTGAGATTTGAATTCAGTTTCTCTTTCGGCTGAGCCTTTGGTCGAGTCCCTATTCTATAGGATATAGTTTCAAGAGCCCTTGCTATATAGACACTTTGTTGCAAACAATCCCGTCTGTCTATTAGTTCAAGCTCCATCCTAAACTTCGGTTCAGGTCAAGCAGGAAGCCAATGCACCTTACTTAGACTCAACATCAAATCGCACTTCCACCAAGAAGAGGTGGTAAAAAGGGATGGTGATACCCCTTGAAAGACATAACTAACTTACAAGACTGAAAATGAAAGGAAATAACTACTCATGGCAGATAGCATCTAATTTCTTCTTGGTAAGCTAATCCTCTAACTCAGGTTCCCTATAAGGGTAAAAGATCTAATTCTCGGATCAATAATCAATCGTCTTACGTTCTATCAATAAAGAAGGATTCGGACCAGGAGAATAGAAAGCAGTAGTGGTTCCATTACCTTTACCTTTTCCTTTAGAATCTCTATTCAACTCCATGGGCAGGCTTCCCTCATTGGCTCATAGCTCTCAATAGCTCCCTCCCATAGTTCCCATCACCAGTACTAGCTCTAGCCAAAGAAGGGGATTAGCTCTCAAGACCAGGATCAGCAAGAGGAAGAGGATGAGCGTCAATTGCATCGTACTTTTGTCTAGCCCATTTCTCTACTCTCTCTATATGGTGGCTCGCTTTCCTTCTTTGGCTTAGAGGTCTTCAAGGAAAGAGCTAAAGCAAGTAAGAAAGGGAGAAAGAAAAGTGCAAAAGCCAAGGAAGTAGGCAGACTTATATAGACAAAGAAAGAGAGATTGCTCTACTTCTACTTCTTTCACTACGTCCCAAGTTCCTATTCCTTTGTCCTGTCTTTCTTGTCATCCTCTCTAAGCAAGGACTTGTCAAATCAACTGGTAGAACACTCCCTTCTCGGCAAATACTAAAGACCTGGTATTTATCCCATAGTAAAAGACACTATCATTGGGTCGAAACTCTCGATTAGAGGCCATTATACTTGCTCTCATTCCCGCTGCCGAAACTCCTTCTAAAAGGTATGAACACGAGCAAAGCCTATTGGCACGAAGTAGCTCGACTGAAAGGTTTTAAATAATCTCGACTATAAAGGAGAGGAGAGGAAAGCGAAGTAGTACGATATCGTCTCCGCGATCCAAAACGAAACCTATCCTGTCGGATGTATTGAAATTGTGTGAAACGGATATCAAAGAAGGCATGCTGTGGGTCACTCAAGGTCGTCGTAAGTTGAGAATTGAAATGACAGGACTGGATCATATATTCAAAGCTGTAGGCATCGTCGGTTGGCTCTCCTAAACGAGGGGCGAATACAGATAGGATCAAAAGCTAGAACATCCCATCGAGCTAATCAAACTTATCACTCGTGTCAGCGAGTTGTTTGACTAGCGAGCGTAAGACGTCATGAGCAGCCTTCCACAAGGTTCGATGCAATTGACCAAAAAACGGAATCTCAACTCTACGAGAGATAAAATACACAAACCGATTTCCTTCGAACCGACAGAGACCTATCCTTTTAACAGTCAGATGAGTATGGAGTTGGTGCATCTGCTCATGAATAGAGACCTCCTTCACCTCGTACACTCGGGCCAGTAGCTTCTGTTTCAGTTGAATGAATTCCGAATCTTCCCAAGGGGATCACTAATCATCAATGCTTTGACTGCGAGTTGGCTTCTTTGTCCTAATTTAAGCTAGAAAGAAGTTTCTAAACCCCAACAAACGAAGCGAAGCACGTCAAAGCCCAATAGCCGATTTGCTTCAAATAGAAGGCTCATTCGTAGATCAGCACAAAGCTTTTGCCTAGGGAGTAGGTCCGGAAAGAGACTTAAGGCATACCCATGAAGAAGCGGGACATGAGCCTCTTTTGCTTTGGCAAGAATGATTTGCCTTGCTAGTAGAGACTTGATTCCAACCACGGATGCAGCGAGTCAAACATCAATGATCTTCTTCAGATTTTTTAAAACGACTGATTCTTAGTCAACTCGGTTAGCTTCCTCTGCTTCCGGTGGTGGAACAACCACTTTTTCGGACAAGATATTAATAGCTAATACGGATGCTATGAATTCAACGATCTGCTTGGGCTTTTCTATTTAGTATGGTATACTACCAAGGTCTTTACTTCTTTCTTTCATTCGAAGAGGAAAGACAGATTCATTAGTGAAAAAGGACAGACAGGCAGACAAATACTACAGGCTGATCTACCTGCTTTGTTCTCCTTTCCTTCACTTCGCTTCGCTTCGTTCGGACACTGCGCTTCGAAAAGTTTGTTAGGTCGTCGAATCGATCCTGGTCTTGCTCGAGAGAAAGGAATAGCTGCATTACCAAGTATAGCGGCTCTTTGTCTTCCTTTCCGTTCTTCACCATTGGGAGGACTGATTGTGGATATGAGGGAAATTTGAGCTCGCAGGTGGGACTGTCGTTTGAGCCATGTCTTTCGGGAAGGCAACTTCGGGAGACTATCCACAAAGGACTGAACAAGAAAAGTTTTCATACATCCGCCATCCGCTACTCGTATCTGGTCGCACCCCGGTTTGATTGGCTTTGCTAGGCTTGCTACGGCTTAACCGACCCATCCAATTTTGGATCGAGTAAAAAAGAAGTCGGCGTAAGCTTGATAGGATAGAGATCTCCTTCACATTGGCCTTGAAGCAAGATTTTCCCTTTTAATCGTGTGAAACTTACAAAAGAAAATGATCTTTCGTAAATTTAGCGCACAAAAAATATGCAGAAAAAAGTAATGAATTTTCATTCTTTCCAATTCCAATAGGAAATATTATATCGGAGCCTTTTTGCACAACTTGCGGATTTTCCTTGTTCGTTTGGGTGAGCCGAGCTGGTCGCTCTCAATGTAATCGAACGAAGTGAAGGAAAGGTGTAATTGAGGAAGCGAAGCGCAGTGAAGTCATAGAAACGGATGAAGATGATTCACTCACCGTTAACAGGAAAGGACAGTGTGGCATACTATTCTATACGATGAATGTGCAGCGACTTTTTCACTTTCTAACTTCAGCTAGCTGACTGGTTTACTACCGGCTTTCAACCCTTGGACAGCTATCTTTGGCATGCGTGCTACCGGCCTACCTACTGAACTCCTACTGTCCTGCTACCAAGCATTCTCTCTTTACTCGCCTAAGGGTGCACTAAGAAAGATTGCAACAACGACAAAAGGAAGATAAGCACAGGTTTGAAGATACTCGACCATACAAACTTTTCGCAGTGAAGGAAAAAAGAGATGTAGTAGAGAGTCGAATCATCGGACTCGGCGATCTGTGGTAGGTAGCCCTTTAAGAGTAGGAAAAGGCAGCGCGGGTGTGAAAGATTTTGTATTGAAGCCCTGGGACTCTGTCCGCTTCCGTCGAATGGCTGCTAACCATTATTCTGGGTGGATCTTGCAACGATACCCTATAGCCGCTGCTTCCATAAAAGCTCATCTGATGACTTCCCCTTTCGTTTGATTCCACACCGGATTCACTATCTTCTGAATCGGACAGAATTAACTCTAACGAGAAGGAAGGTGACAATACAAACTTTTCGAAGCGAAGTTCAGTCAAAGACCCTACACTCACCCGTGCCTACTTGTGAAGTGTGAACCACGTCCATACTATCCATAATATAAAGACCTTTTTTGGCGGGAGGAAGCGTGTGTAATCGCTTACCGCCCTTTGATAATTTTCATGTTCGTTCTTTCGAGAATGAGGAGGCCCACGTTTGTTGCTCGTTCCGCCTGCTTGCGTGCTTGGAGAGGATAAAGGTGGTTCGACTCTTCATAACTAATCTTCTTTCTCTAAAGGCCGCTTCCCGGAAGGAAAGGAGTGGAGCAACAAGCACCCTTTCTCCACGTGCTAGGGTTTAACCATTCACCACGACATATACATACATTAACGGAAACTCCAGACTGATTCTCGTGTCAATTCAATAAGGTCTGAGGATGAGACAGGATTGAAGCACCTTTCCCACAGCTCATGGGCCGCGGGAAGTGGAAGTAGAATGGCTTGGTACGCGCCTGCTTTTGAGAGTCTTTATGCGTTAGCATTTTCTTAAAAAAGGCTCAAAGCGAATGGTCAAGGTCAAAGGATTAAAAGGATGGGAGTGAAGATAGGCTTCGTCATTAGTAGTGGGGAAGCTGGCCAATTCACAATGTGATTAGTAGGTACGGCTCCTGCTGTTCTTTCAGACCGAACCTGGTACCCCAGATCCAAACTCTGATACATACTCAAGACTGATGGAGCTAAACCCCTGGTACCGATGGAGCTACATGACAGCTATTGGTCTAAAGACCAGGACTTAAAGAGAGGTTCCAAAGGCAGTTCTTTAACAAACCCCAGGCAAACCCCTCACTATCAGGATCTTGTCCGCCAATCCCTTGTAAACTACCGCCTTTCTGGTACAGGTTCCACTCCGGCTCCCTAGCCCTCTTCATGCCGAAACCTTGTACCCCAAACACCTCTTACTATTCAAACCGAAGCTAAATACCAGAAGAATCCAAGAACAAAAGGGACTTGACTTTCAAAAGGGCCCCGCCTAGCTCCTTCCTGTCCCCAGCTCCTGACCCCCCTCTCTTTATACCAACAACACAACAGCAATCCCGATAAAAGTATAGGAATGCTAGTAATCTAAGAGCAGGTCTCAACGAGCCTTTAGTTACAACGCCTGCATATGCATAGGTTCGACACCTCTTCTTCTTTTTACACCGAAACTGGTACTATTTAGCAACAAACTGAGGTAAACCTCTTTCATATCATATGTAGGGTATTTGTTTTAGCTGTCATCTGTGCCCTCATCTGCGCCTAGGCAAGGTAGCAGTCAACACGCCACTGCCCTTGTAGTAACCCTAGCAGCTGTCTTCCTAGGTAAGAGAGTCTAGCCTAATGGCAAAGTCCCCAGCTTTGCCTCTTCAAGCGGTAGGTGAGGGGCGAAGGGTATAGCGATATGGGTTCGAGACATCAGCTGTTAACCGAAAGCACCAGCATTCACTTAATAAAGAGAAGGGCTAGGCAGTCCTCACGCCACTGCTTTAGCTGTCGTCTTAAGTAAGGAGTAACGCCTGGTTCATTTAAGCCTACGGCACCAGTTAAGGCATTGGCTTTGTAGCTGCGAGTTGTTAGCCAAGAGGTAGGTACGTAGGTTCCAGTCCAACACCTCTGGGCAGGGGCAAGTCAAGGTAAGCAGGTCAGGTTAGCAGAGCAGGCGGTAGCTCGAGATCTCCTTGATGAGTTCCTCCGGGCAGGTGCTAGGGCAAGGTAACGAGATGACGAAAAGGAGATGAGATGCGAAGTCAAGCCCGCGTAGTCAAGTACACGGGTAAGAGATGAGAAGAGCTGAGGAGGATAGGCGAAGGTAAGATGCCAGGGGTAGGTTCGACTCCTAGGTCAGGTTCCATAGCGAAGATTCCGAAAGAACATCAGTAAATAAATCATAGGACCTTATATATAGGAAGCAGTAAGAGTAGGTGTTTTCTTGGTATTCCTATCATGTAGTCATTTCCTCGTGATTCTACTCCCCGCCCTTCTTAGTCCGTCCTTGGTAGTTTCGCCCTTCACCAAAGGTAGTCTTTTCGGCATTCAGCATTCACTGAGAGTTAGCGATAGGCGACTGGGGCCTTTTACGAGACCTTTCCTAGTGGATGTTCAGGACGAATGAACTTACGCTTGTCTTAGAAGTCCTTTCCCTCTAGTCCTACCGCCTCGAATTCCTTTTTCTTCTATTCTTCGTGGACAGTGAATGGAAAGTCTATCACCTACGGGCTATTCCCTCTTGCCCTAATCCTTGTCCTTGCCTAGTGGATTTTGAAGGAGACTGAGACCCGGAACCATCGAACCCTTGGCTTTATGTCCGGCCTGGGAAAAGTCGGTTACCAGACAGACCAATAAGGACGAGACGAGCAGAGAGAGGAGACAGACTCCAAAGGGGAGAGTTCGCACCTCATAAGGGGACAAGGAAGAAAAGCTTGACTGAATTAGATCCCCTCGTTGAACTCATAATTCCTTGTAGATGTAGCTTCGAATAGGGACGAGCTTGACATCGATCGAGCACTGCCCTGTCTCTTCTACGGCTTGGGAATCTGTTTAGAAAGAAAGCGGGGACCGATATCTCGGAGTACTCAGTGGAGGATATAGGGGAGAAGTATGTATTCCTAGATTGGCTAGCTGTAAACCTTACATGTTGTCATCGACCTATCAAAAGAAAGCAAATGCTCTTCTATGGTCCTCAAAAGACACTGATCATTCATTTTTGAAAGTCAGTTCTTCGAATCTATTTCTTCTCTTTCTTATCGGAAGTCTTTTGTCGCGCGATGAACCGGGTGAAGAAAACCAACGATCAATAGCCAGATGGGGATACCCGCAAGTGTTGGTTCGAGTCCAGCTCGTCAGCTCAGCAGAAATGAATGTAGAAGTAGAACCCTTAGCTTAGGACTTTTGAAATCCCGGGTGACCTTTTCCCGCTAGCCTATCAGTTCAGTTCCTTCTCGCCCTTGTCATTGAAAGAAGGAATCTTCAGCCTTGGTCCCAGGAAGTAGCAGAGGAAGAAAGAGATGGGAAAAGATAGAATAGTGTATATAAGCAATTCTTTCTCTTTTTAGTACGGGTCCGAGCGAGGATTCGACTTTCAAAGAACGAAAGCAAAGGCAGAACTATCATCTAGACAAGGTAGCTAGTTGGATTGACTGATTCAGAGCTTCTTCCCAAAGAGAATGACGTCTTTGTTTGCCAAGCATTTATCCCTTTATTAAGTAATTCTCTATTGTCGGCTCTAGTGAAAGGCAGGGCGTGCTAGCATGAGGAGATCAAACCTTAGGTTTTCATTCCTGATAGTTTGTACTGAAAGCGGTGGACTTCTTCTAATGGTTGCTAAAGGGCTATCAAGCAGAGTAACTACGCTTACGTTGAGTTGATTCTCGTCATGCTTTCACCCTACAGCAAGAGTTCATTCATCAATTCTTTCTTTCACCTAAGCGAATTCTTTGTTCAGTTAGGAATGCACTAGCGGACCACGCGAACAATCGGATCGGAAAAGATCGATAGCTGCTTTCTTCTCAAATGCTTCTCCTCTTGTTGATCTAATGCCAATGAAAGAGAAAAAGTTCTTGTTGGTTGGGAGAGTTCCCCTTGCGTACATCCTCTTTCAGCTGATATGATCAAGCCTTGAAGGAAAGAAAGGAGGGAAGCGGTACTCAATTGCAAGTTCGATGAGCCAGATGGGAACTTTCCTCGAATCAATAGCTCCTTAATCCGAAAGCTCCATACGGTGTGTGTACTGCTCTCCTTTCCTTGCCTTTAGTGAGAGGATAAACGACCTGGCGATGTTAATCTGGCAAAAATTACACGAAAAGAATCCTAACCATAGCCACAAAACTCAAAACACAAAAGCGAGAAAGCGAGAAATCCGCAAAACCAGGATCCGAGAAAAAGGAAAGGGAGATAAGACAGGGAAGAATCGCGGTAGAGAGAAGAAATAGTGAGTAAGTTCGGTTGACGGAACACGGAACACGTAGCCAATCTCGATCCTTTGACTTCACTTTGCTTCGCTTCGTTCTGTCAATTACATCTTCCAAACCTCGCCTTTTTCTCTTTCTTTTTACGCGCTTTCTTTCCTGCCCAATGGTCTCCCTTTCTTTCGATCCTTGGCGAATCATCATAATTCGAAACTAAATGCGTTTTCCGGATACAAATATCGGGGTGTCAATCCTCACCCCATTGGCTCGAGGGTAACCCATTCTTTATTCTTTATGGCTCGAGGAGAATCTTCCTCCCAAAGCACCGATCTCCTGACTGGACTTTCGCAAAGCATTTAACTTGGCTTCTTCTCCCCGACTCTATAGGAGTACTTTTCAATCCTGGGTCTGGGGATCTGGTAGGGCATCTGACTGGGCAAGTGCAATTGTCTACCTCTTACCTCTGTAGGCGTGGAAAGAGTTCGCCCTCTCGATCAGGTCCTGCCACGCGTAAAGTCAAAAGATCTTGCCGATCTTACATCTGGAAAGCGCTGCTAGGAGTTCGGAGTTCCTCTCATATATCTCATATATTGAAAACTGGAGTTGAGGACCCCTTTCTTTTGACCTAACGAATGGACAACGTTCCTCATTTGGCGAAACAACTGATACTGAAAGAGTGGGTCCTTCTGCCCAGTATCCGACCTGAGGTACTTCGCTCTCACGCTAGCTCTGTTAGCTAAGTTTCCCAATCCCAGGACAAAAGGGAAGACAGGATCTCATTTCGTTTCGCTCGTCTTGTTATTGATGGGCTTTCTGCCCGGTTTTTCGAAACTCGTTCTCAGGCAAAGCAAATCTGCTCTCTTGCGCCCTTTGTTCAATTGATCTCTCAAATCCAGGATTGAGAAAGCATAGTTCCGAAGCGCTCCTTGCCAGACTGTCTTATCAGCTGTTCGCTCGAAGCACTTCTTTTTACACTATTTCGGAAACCCAAGGACTCAATCCTTCTTTATCCATCAATGCAAATACTTCTACTTATTGCGTTGGGAATGCCCTTGACCTCCTTCCTTCTTTCGAGTTAATAACCCGATTGTTTTAACCGATCCGATGTTATCGATCGGGTGGTCCACTCTTTCCGGCGCTGATAAGTTATGGGCAGGGCGATCGGGCCTGGCTCCTTCTTATCCATCTGACGAGTCTGAGGAGCAACGATTTCAACGCTACCGATGGAACTCCCCTTCCACTAATAGACTAATAGATACCCCCTTGACTTTCGCCTTTCTTCGTTAGGTACAATCACAAGCAAGCCCTCATTTGCGTGCGCAAGGCTCGTCGAACCCGTTTAGACCTTCGGATCTGGAAAGGTATGGCTTTCTCGTTCTCTTGCCCACTAAATAACTCCTTCGGTCAGCCAATTCCGTATCTTGCTGCTTCTTAAAGAAAGGAGCTCATAAAAGACAGCTAAACGTGGGGCCTGTCACAAACTCATTAACTGTTGTAAGAAATCGTTACCTTGGACCTGAGCCTGCTTAACGACAGGAACTCTCACTGCTAATGCTCACGGGTTGAGAACGAGGATCAACTGCGAAAGCTGGGTCGTCAACAGCCGGAGAGATACCAATGCTACACGGGTCTTCCAATCGGGTTGTTCAATATGGTAATGCATTGGACCTGGCAAGCGGTTTTACCTGTCCTGGGGTCAGATACTGGCCTGAAGTCGCTAGTCTTTCGGTATGACTAAATGTACAAAGAAGGCACCTCTATTTTATTTCGCGTGAGGTCATATCATACGCATACGCGAGCCCTCAACAACAGATGTTTGCGATATATTACTTTTTGACCGGGGATCAGAAGCTGCATTGGTATTATACACAGGTTGTCAGGAGTCGAATCTTTGAAGTTCCTGTACCAAGTCACCCATTTATTGGCAAGTGCCTGAAATACGCCGGGGCAAAGTGACAGGTTAGGAGCTAAAAGGGGGCTCGGGAGAGGCAATGTTTTGCGTACTGTTGGAGTGGAAACCCTTTGGAAAGTCCAATATATGGAATATATAGAGAGATAATATGAGGAGTTGGAGAAGTCCTGCACTTCTATACATGTGTGCGTATACCGGTTGATCCAATCCATTAGGGAAAAAGGTACCTGGTTCCGTAGAAAGGGAAGCAAGGTTTCGGACTTGAAAGTCCTGTACCAGAAATTGTTTCAAAAGGTCAAAGTAAATAGTCGAAATTTTGGGGGATCAGGAGAAGGGGTTATGCCGATGCTTTAAGGGGTTTATTAGCAGCTCTTGACCGTCTGTTTTCTACCCCAACCCAATCGGGATCGGGTATTCCAATTCCTGGTTGATCTAGAAACTCTATCTATGCAATTTCAGCAGGAACTGAAAAAGTGCTTTTGCTTTCAGTTCAGAGTTCGGACAATCCTAGCGAATCTGATCTCAAACCTCAGAGTAAGGGGTTTGACCCCAAACTCACTCATTGGATTGCCCAGCTCTTATTTCATCGGAGGTTTCGAAATTAGGAGTAAGTAACAACCCGATACACCTGGGGGAGATTAGAGAAATAGCAAGGGGTGGAAAAGCTATAGCGCATATAGACTAAACATTTGTTACCAGAGAACGCATTCTTTGCATTTTTACGATGGATCACAAGAAAGGGCTTCAGAACTAGGCCCCATTTTGAGAACTCTTAGCAAGGGAGTTGTTCAGCGCCTACGAGCTCCAGCATATTTAGAGTTAGAGCATCTATTTACGCGTGGGGTGGCAGGAACAGGCCAACTCTTTCTCTTTACGCGCTTGCTTAGTGGACTACATCCGAGAACTACCCTCCTGCTCACTCTTCCTTTAGAAGCTACGTTTTCCAGTTCCTAGTGAGAGACTGAGAGACATTAGGAGTGACTTGGAGCTACTTAACAGCTATCCCAGCACTTTACTAGCTCTTATTTGAGTAGCCATCTGCAACGGACTTTCTGACTCCTCTTGCCAAAGCCAAACCACCAGCACTACTACTCCTAGTTAAGAGCTATTATGAGAACTCGCCTTATAGATATAGAGGTGGAAATTCCAGATGTTGACGGAGAAAGCCCAACTTCTTGTTATTTTCTTGGCGCTCACTAGCTCAGATGTCTGCACTTTCCTTTCCCCTGGGTCAGATGGGCAAACTGTCCATGTCCAAAGATCTACCTGATAGTGATGTGAAAGCTCTGAAAGCGATGGTGCGGTACACAGGTCAACTGCACAACTTCGATAAAGAACGCGTTTTCTTTAAGGTGTTTAAAGAATAGTAAGTAATGGGAAATATATCCTTTTTAAAAAGAGCTGGAAAGCAAAGTTCCAAGTTCCAGATTAGGAGCTCATCTCGTAAAGGGATGGGTTACCTGGGGTATTAGTATTAGGAGTAGAAGTAGTGGTTGGTAGAATTCCTCCGTCTGTGGAGTAGAAAGCTGGTAGTTCGGATTCCGAATTGGTTCGTTAAAGAGCGGGGTAGTAGGAGTAAGTCGTCGATCTTGGTAATTCCCCTGAGGTCGAGGACAAGCCAGTTAGTTTGGTCAAGCGAAGCGGGGATTCGGATTTGCCCAGGAAGTCGAGAAAGAGCGGGATACCCGGACTCGGTCCTTTGTTTGCAATGCAAGGCAGGCGATCCGATCTTCCTTAGCTTATGCTTATCCGGTTGAGGCAGGAGTCAGAAAGGGAGCATAATATGCATATGCTGGGCGGAGTAGCTATTGCCAGATCCAGATTCGATTTGGAGCTAAACTGCGAGTGGAAAGTGACAGATTAGGCGATAGAAATCCAACGAGGAACTCACGCCAGGGGTTGACAACTCTACTACCAGTCTACTCCTAGCGCCTTTATTTGAGTTTGACGATCGATCATAACAAGGATTCGTCGCTTTTACGCATAGAAGATCGACCCCGATATCTCTTACCAAGATTTTATGAGGGAAGGAAGTCCAGCAGTGTACACATTATCCACATATTTAGTATTTAGATATTTAGTTACGCGCTAGGATCTTGAAAAACTGGGTTCACTCGTCCTTCGCTCTTTCCTCGATCTGACAGGCTGGCAAGGAAGTCCATAAAGTGCGGGGCCTCGGTCGGATGATGGCTTGGGAGTTCGGCTCGTACCTCGGGTATTGCATCTTTTTAGTTGCCATGAAGGAAAGCGCTCGTACCTCGGGTCTTACCAGTTGAGTCAGGAATTCTCAATATGGTCAAAAGACGAGATAAGGATAAGGAGTGGAAATCGGGGATGAGGAGTACGGGGGTCTGAACAAGCCAGATTTCACAACACCAACTTGAGAGCCATACCGACGTAAGATCCCTAGCCCGGCTTCGGACCTCAGGTAAACTTCCTTTTCCTTTCTGTCTTATCTGGTTAAAGTAAAGGACTGTAAATCCCTTTCCCAGTTGACGACGCTTGTTACCTCGTTTAAAGCGTTTTCCGTCTGGCTTGGCTGGTCGATCGAAGTACTTTCATCGCCTTTCCGGAATCGACCCCGATATCCTGGATTGAAAAACGGGTTTTCGAGACCCCGAGGAACGAGCTTGTGATCGATCGTTGTAAGATCTTAGGCGCCGTTTGGGAACGGCTATCTGTTCGGGTTAGGAATTGATGCTTTCAGGATTCTGGGACAACAGTCACTCCAGCCAACTTTTAGTGGGAACTGGGACCTGGTACTACAATGCACAAGCGGTAAGAGCAAACTGTCTTATTGCTTTCCTTTATGCGATGTACTATATAGGCAACTCGTCCCCCTACAACCTTTCCCTTGCTCTGGCACTGATTTACCAGCTTCATCGTCAACATTCTAATGAATTCCAATAGCTTCTCGGAAGCCGGCTTGCGCTGGATTGGTCCATACCTCTGGCAGGCATCGCAGCTTTTAGCATGTGATATGCAATCTGACAGGACCGTAGGCCAGTAGTGGTCATGTCTCCGGATCAACCAACGCATCTTCACAAAGCCATGTGCTCCACTTAGCTTAGGGGAGTCCGTTTTTTCGATGAGCTAACTAGAAGCTTAGAGGAGAGCGCTAGCGTGCACACTTCCGTTGATGTGCTTCACTGATCGATTGAATCTTTTGACATTTATTAGTCAAACCAAAGGGTCGATTACATTGAGCTCGAAAGGAAGTTAAAGTTCAAAAGGGCGGGGTTCGGGAATAGCAGGACGACAGCCTTGCATTTCCGTTTGGATCCCCAGCTTTTCTCATTGGTAGATCCGGGACCCATGGCGAGGAGAGAACCCTATAGAAGAAAGAAGAGACAATTACATCGAACCTGTATGCTAACTTGCTGATCCGTGCTTAACCTTCCTACCACTGCTCCTTTCCTTGGCCACAGCCATGGTCCTTTCCTTTCTATTCATTAGAGTCAAAGCTGATACCGGCTTATTCGGAAAATTCCATTCTTGTCACCCGACAGAATTTCTCAGCTTCTTCGTCTTCGGGAAATCAGGTGCCTGACCTTTCCTTTTAGCTAGACCTTCTGCGTGATGGTCAACGGACCAAGCAAAGAGAGAGGGGTCGGTGGGCAAGTGAGCTGATCTCGCCTTTGTTGATCCGCTGGAAGAGAGTTATCACGACCTTTCTTTGACTTCACTTCGCTTCGCTTCGTTCGTTGGGTCGACAAAGTTGAGTGACGATCGATTCATAGATAGATTTCTCTCCATATAGATAGGTATCTCCGTGGATAGAGATAAAGATAGGGATCTATCTAGTCACTATTTCCATTTTTTTTTTCTTAATTCTGATTGATTGCCTTTTTTTTGACGACAAGTTTGAAATCTTAATGCAGGCAAGGTGAAATGAATTTCAATTATTACTTGCTGGGTCGGAACGTAGACGAACGAGCAGAGCCCAGGAAAGAGGGAAGCCCGTCATAGAGCAGTCGACTAGAAGTAGAAGACTGCTGGCCTGAGAGAAAGCGGCCTCTCTCGGGAAACATAGCTAAATTTCTCTTCTTTCTTTTTGATTTCGGGTTTCTTTATTTTTCTTTTTCAGGGGCCCAGAACGCTAAAGGGGAGAAAGAAACCGAACCTCTAATCGACCGTCACACATAAAAAATTCTCGGCAGGAAAGAAGTACACTCGCTGTATGCCATCCCTGATTCCATTGATGGGCACTCGGTCAGTAATAACTGTGAGATAAATGGATAGAACAGAATAGCCATCCCATTCCCTTGCACCAAAGATTAAATAAGGTAACCTAGCAGGTTAGGCAATAATACATCTCCAATCGACAATCAAGCTACAGACGATGGCACCCAAGGAAGCAAGTCAGCCATCACATCATCCCTTCATACTATTTGATACTGAACCTCGCCCGGAGAAGCTACATCGAGGATTGGCTTTCCCGTGATCGCATAAGAGCATGGCTCTGCTCCGGGTCTTGCCCAGCTTCGTAAAAGGTTATTACAAGAAAAGTGGGAAATTCACTCTAAAGGGTAACAAAAGAGTGGGATGACTTTATGCGACAGGAGTTCACCAAGTCTAAGAATGGGCCGGTCATTCAACGAGAAGGGGGGCTTCACCTGATCGCTCTGAATCCGCTGATCAGGAAGAGAGAAAGGAAGAGGTTTTTTCTTTCTCAATTACATCGAACCTGGCCTCTTTGACAGTAGCTAGTCTGAATTCGTAACCCTTGGGCAGGAGTCGTCAGATCTTGCCCAGGCAAAGGAGCGATCGACACTCGCTCGCAAGTTTTAAGAAGTGGTAGTGGTAAGCGCAAGGACAAGTTTATTCAGAAAGCGGTCAAAGTCTGGAGAAAGTGTTGTTGTTGAGTGGATCAGTTGTTTTATATCATGGGAATAATATGGTAAGTAGATCTCTCTTCCACGATTTTGTTCATTTTTTGAATAAGGTTTGCAGAGGCTCGACCAATTTGACTGAACTTCGCTTCCTCAACTCAATTACATGGACCCAACGAACTTTTCGAAGCGAAATGAAGTCATAGAAGCTTTTTTTCGTTTGAGGGAATACCTGGTTCAAGACCCATCGGGCGGCGCTCACCCCGGTAGCTCAAGGCCCGTAGCCTTCCTGTAGTTCCAGAGTGAATAAGGAAGTTCCAGGCTATCAGTTCAAGGTTGGCGGATAGGGGCAGCAGGGGGTCAATCCGCTGGCAAAGCAAAGACAGCTTGAGACTTTCTTTTGCTGCTTGGCTACTGACGATTATCCTGCACCTTTTTTTTCTCCACCTTCTACCTTTCTCTGTTTTTCTTTCTGCGTGCTACTGTGATGATATCTGAAGGTGTCTGGAGTTGACTTGGTGGATGAACAAGATGGTTCGCTTCACTCGCTAAGAGAGAAAAATGATAGGGGATAGACAGAAAGAGAAGGAATAGCGGGCAAAGAGATGTCCCGATTCCAATGCTTAACGAATGGACCAATCCAATACTTTGAATGCTAACAGAATCGACAGCTGCCAAGCCACTTACCTTACTAGCACGATACCGAAATGGCTCTTAGACGACTAAAGGCTACAAGACTGCTTCGTAACCTACAACCCTCGCTCTCAGAGAAAGACAAAACGGACAAGAACGACCTTTTACATCCTCAAGCTACAAAGAGGATAGGCTACTGGGGCTTCCCCGCGGGTAGAGCTAGAAAGAATAACATAAGAAATATAAGACCCTTTCTAATTGCCATCACTGAAAAGCAGTACAAGTAATACATCACTAGAAGGATAAAAAAGACCGAGACTAGGTTAATTCCATCAAACAAGGGATGCACCCACAAAGAAAGCATAGGCGAGTAGTCACTTCACTCAATACATTTATAAAGGATAACTTGAAAACAGGGAGGAATTTCTACAAATTAGGAAAGGCCAATCCTAGCTTCTGAAAGAAGAGAAAAGATCAGACCTGCAACCCCATAACCGACAGCGAAGACTTCGAATGATAGACCGACGGAAGTGACTCATAACTAATGGTGCACTTCGCTCGTCAAGCAAGAAATGAAAATCAGCCCTTGATGCGTGAGAGCTGTTAAAAAGAAGCAAAGAAAAAGGCCTTGCACCTCACCCACCTCACTAAGAGGATAGCGAAATGGGCCTACCTACTTCTCGCATTGACTCCATCGACAGAAAGAACTCCTTGACTCGATACGGGAATCCGAAGACAAGAGGAAATGGGACTATCCCCGAAGACAGATTCACTCGATCTGATGCCCTTTGGCCGATTCTACCTCTGCCAACTCCCTCTTTATAGCAGCTCCGAAGTCGCCTACTTCTTGGATAGAAAGATCAATCACGTACAAACAAGATTTGATGATTTTCTTACGTGACAAAACCCCAACAAACGAAGCGCCAGGAGTCTTTTCACAACTAGGTTTCGTTAGCTTTTTTCTTAAAAGGCGAATTTTGAGGGTCGGAGCCTAGATGAACCGAATGTTTCATTTTCAATCCTGATAAACAATGGTCCATTGAAATCCATGATGGGCCATACAATGTGATCAAGAACTTGAATTACACTGGGCCACAGGACGGGGGTTGCCCATGATCTTTTCAGCGATGTCATAGGCCGACTTGGAGGTAAAGCCCGTTGACCTAAAGAAAGAAGACACGGATGGCTTTGATCTTCAGTCTCTTCTGCCTCAACTTCTAAGACCCTCGCGGAGTTAGGGTCGATGTAATTGAGTTGTTGTCTCTTCCAATTCCTTCGAAGCTTCCTTTGAGGTTTGCTCAACTTAACCAGTCTTTCCAGTTCCATGTCGACTTTACGACAATGTCTTCTCCTTTGGTCACAATAGTAATTGCCTATGGTCAGCCCCTGGAAGTCTTTCGAATCCCGGATAAGAAATGTATGCAAACGATGCAGGAATCGAAGTGGAGTGATTCAGTAAGATAGAATTTGTTGTTCGTTCACCTTCCAACATTTTGACTTCCGTTGAGACAGCAACTTTTTGCATTACCAAAGGGCTATCTATCCGTCCCGAAAAAAAATGACTCATTCTGGAGACGGACCCGCAACCTCCTTAGGAGATGTCTTTTCCTTTATGACTTCACTTCGCTTCGTTCGTTGGGAGGAAGCCCTATTCTTCTTTATTTACTAAAGGAAAGGCTAGAGTTTCAGTTGAGGCTCGGCCAAAAAAAATTGTTTAAGCGTACTGAAATGGAGTTTTGGTTTAGGCTTTCCTGCCTTTGCTTAGTCGGGATTGTCGGCTTTCTTACCTTCGTTGACCAGCCACCAAGTAAGTCATTAGCCATAAAGTCCAACTTAGACCCTTCTAGAGCAGCTAGTCCCAGCGAAGTTGCGTTTTCCCGGTTCTGATCTATCTTCTGCTTTCCAGCAACGACCTCTGGGCATTGGAAGAGAAGGAGGACTTTGACTGTCACTGAACGAATCCGTGGTGACGTAGATTTCCGATTTCAATTGCATCGAACCTGTTTGTGGCAACTTGAGCCATTTCCTTTCCTCAATGTAATCGACCCTAAATAGAAATAGAAAGCCCAACTATGCGGCTATCACGAATAAGAAATTCAAGGCTTTCTCTCTTTTAACTGCGGAGACCTTTTTAGAAGGTGGGCTGAAACTCCAACCCTTGGTGAAGGACACGCACGCTAGAAAAAACTAGCCGAAGTTTTGCCTTTGCGCTAGAACTCGTAGCCCTGTTATACTAGATTTTGCCTGCGCGCTAATGCCTGGATCTTCTTTCTTTCATTTCGTTCGAAAGTTGTCTAGGGCAGTAGGTCTTCCCGAACTGGGTAGAAAAAGGTTTTCCTTCTCTGGCAATGCCCTTTTCTGCCTCTTAGGAGATCACTGGTTTTGAATTCGGCCGACGAACAGACGCAAAACCCATCCATTCATAAAAAAGGTATTTTCGGGCAGTCGTGAACCAATGCCCAAAAAAGGTCACTGGAAATGGCTGGAATGATTGACCGGGCCGCTTGGTGTATTCAATGATAGGTATAGGGTTCCTTTCTTTGAAATATCCTTTGCCCAGCGAGATCATCCTCCAATTCTCTCGGATACCCCATGTTTCAGCCAGCCGTTGTCGCAAGGCAGCCAACCCAACTTAGAAGCGAAGTGAAGTCATAGAAAGGGAAGGAAGTCAGCAAAAGCAGCTTCAAGGTCTTCGGCAACGAGTTCAACTGCTGACCCAAGTGGAGATCAAAGAGCTGCATCTCAATCTACGCAATTTTCCGATCTGGGAAGGTACAAACGAAGCGAAGTGCAGTGAAGTCATAAAGAAAGGAGAGGATAGGTAGAATCATCAGAAAGGAATCCGGATATCTTGAAAATGCTTTCTTCTATGGCTAGCCCGGATCCGTCTCAGACCCCCATCTCCCGCTTCCCATTAGTCTTAAGGGCACTTGGACTGACTTTGCTTTCCTTTTTCCCGGCCTCATTGATTTTGAAGTGATAAAAAGGCCCTCCGGTTAGAAAGAAAAGTAGACCCTTTCGGGACTCCATTCCTGATAGCTCAAGATCTTTGGTGCGAAATACGCCAGCTCCACAGCTTTGACTAATTATTGGAACATCTTTCAGAGAGATGGTTCACTAAATTTAGAGCCGCTTCTACTCTTTGGTTGCTGCTTTTCCTTCCTTAATAGAAATATCAGTTTCAAAATTCATAATATGAGGGGATACGAAGACGGAAAGGTTTTCAGATGCTCGACTATAAATCCGAGGGTCTTAGAAGTTGAGGCGAAGCGAAGTGAAGTCAAAAACCATAGTACGAGGAACGGAAGCCGGGGACTCTGACTTCGATGGCTACGATCACCCACTTCCTTGACCAGGCCAGCTCACTTTCTTACATTTCTTGTGCCCGGTCGATCTTTTCCTTTGCTTAGGTCCACTGTTCCCTTAGGGCAGGATGATATTTCGTGGCAAAGTGGGACTCAGAAAATTCCTTGGTCATGTCTTGGTTGATTCAACCTTTCAGTCTGGCCAGGATGATAGGCCGATAACTCTCTAATTCGCTGCCTAAGGGAAAGGCTGTCAGCTCTTCTCCTTCCTTTCACTCTTCTTGTCAGTACAATTGACGACGCACAGCTCACAAGTCCTCCAGGGACTTCACTGCGCTTCGAAAAGTTTGTTTGGTCGAGTATCTTCAAACCTGGGCTTTCACCGCTTTCCTTGGTTTGTAATCAATCCAGATCATCCAACCCGGTTGACGCCCTAACCCATGGTAACTCAGCCAGCTGAGTTAGGAGATAACTGGAGTTGCTATGAGTCACAGAAAGAGGATGCCAATAGCTCAATCAAGGGGTTAATTTGCTAGCTGAACTTTGCGTCGACACTCCTCTCCTGATATGATGGATGGAATGGGTAGAAGGTTGAGGTTATTGTGTGTTGATTTAGTTAGGACTTTGTCTCCCTTTCGTTATCTTCCGCCCCGGGTGGATGACCTGTGGGAGCTAAGTCGAAGATCTCGGTGTCGTCGTGAGTGGTTGATAAACTGCGATTGCAGATTTAGGGAGTCCCAACCCTGTGAAGCTTAACAGACAAAGAAAACGATAGAGACTTCCGGGTATAGGGTGACGACCTTAATGAATCAAGTATTCAGGTGGCAGAGTTATTAGCTACATAAGCGCTCAAATTCCTGAATACTTATTGCCCTGGCCGAATTTCTATGACTTCACTTCGCTTCTAAAGTTGGGCGAAGCTTGGTGGCAGGTTGCCTTCTTCTATCCTCACCTTGCTTCCTTTAGGCCTGGGATTACTATCTCCTTGTGAACAGGGTTTCTGGTAGAATGAGTCCTAAAAGGCTGGGAAAAAGAAGCAGGGCTATTAACATAGCGCCTTACGATAGCACGCTTTCTTTATAGATCATATATCCCCTTGGAGTCGACTCAATGACGCAAGAAAGAAGGCCCCCAATAGGGGGTGGGGAAGTGTTCGAGTTAGTCTCTCAACTCTACTAGCCGTACCGAGGACGATCTGGGCTCTTTCTTTGGTCCCCTACCCTGGTGAGAAGGGGGGGACAAAAGCACCATTCATATGGTGGGAGCGGGGGCAGGATTCGAACCTGCAATGGTTCTAGCTTCTGCCAAACTAGAGAACAATTATGGTCAGCCACTGCTGCCCCCCGCGGGAGTACGGGCCCTGTCTCAGTCCCAGTTGGTGGAGATGGAAGGAGAGGGGAAGGGGAGAGTGCAGTGATATACTGGAGGTAGGGAGAAGGAAGGTTGGCTGGAAGGGAGTTAGCACAGGTCAGCTCGAATTGTTTTTTAGGTTGGTTGATAGGGTCAGACCTTGGGGTAGACCATAGGTTGGGACAGCTTAAGGGGGTCGATGGGTGGTAAGGGGGATCCGTCATGGTTAACGGATCAGCATGCCGAGCCATGTGGGCTGCCCCCCAGCACCTTTCTTCCCCGGGTCATCCTGCTTCTTAACTGAGACATGGGCGGGTGGCTTTCTTGGCTCCAGGAATCCGGGAGGAGAGGGGACTTGGTTGGATTCGCTTTGTGCGATGAGACGGGTAGATCTGACAGGGCAGGCCAGGGAGAAACCTGTCACTACGGGGGTGGAGATGCGGGGTATCGATCCCCTACAAACTTTTCGAAGCGAAGTTCAGTTCATAAATAAGTAAGAGTGGAGATCGGTCACGTATAGAAGTCAAGCTTAAGAGTTCATACAACTGGAATTGAAGAAGTTGCCTAAACTAGACTATCTATATTTATATATATAAATACTAATAAAAGGCGAGAACTCCCTTTTATTGAAAGTTTAGGAAGAGAGAAAGCACTAGAAAAACTTGAATTTCACTCTTGAATATGAATTCAACCAATAGAGGAATGGGATACTCATAAAGTAGTGGAGATATATGCTCAATACAAGGAAGTCAAAGAATGTTAGAATCTCTTCCCCAACTGTATTTCGCGACGATAATGCAGTAAAGAACCCATATCTTTATTCGAAACTTGGTATTCGGATTGGAGACCATAGTGAGATTGGCGATGATTCTATTTCCATTTTCTTTTCTGGTCCCGGATCTGCTTCTATCCATTCATCTCTGCTCTTGGCCAAGTCAATTGATTCACCCATTTCTCCCTCCCCTCGGCGAATGAACCAGTCAAGTCCTATTTTTGGGTCTGGACGATGAGATCCCTTCCTTTGATCTGCTTTTCGCCCAGTCATTTTTCCTCGTCTTAGATCTTTTCTTTGTGATACGCTTTTCCTTTCATGCTAGCATCAGCTTTCCTTACTTATTCGATTGCTAAGCGCCTATCTCAGCTTCACTGTTAAAGGACTTTCACCCCAGCCCATGAAGAAGATTCACCAAGTAAAGTCATAAAGAGTACTTCTCGGAATGAATGGAAAGAGAAGGAAAAGGTAGAGCTATGAACGGAAGGCATTTCCAAGGGAGTCAAAGAACGAAGAAAATTTTCAGATAGATCAAACCCCTACTAGAAAGCAGAACGAAGAAAGTACCCTAACTGAGCAGGCAGAACCAGATGAGTAGAATGCCCTACATCAACGAATGAAGCAGCGTCCTAAGGAAAGTCAGCAAGCTAGTAAGGAAAGAGCAGAAAGAAGGACTTGTAAATTCAGCTTAAGGAGCTCTTCCTCAATAACTCTAGTGGGAATCGTTCTCAGAGTCAATTGCATCGAACCTGGCAGAGAGCAGTTCACGAGGGTAGAAGGCCGGTGACAAGTCTTATTTCATCTTTGCAAGGCAGAGTAAGCCTAAGGTCAATCCTCAATAGAAGCAAGGGAGAGAGCTTCGATCCATAAAGACATGTAATCTAACCCACTGGAATTGGAGCAGTGTAAACAATGATTTTACGAGATTCTGTATAT